ACCCAGCCCATGATTTCTCTTTTCACCCTTGTGGCCTACTATGTTGCATTTCACCCAGGTTAACACCTGTCATCCAGCTAGCCCATCACCTTTTCTTCCCTCCCTCACCCTCTCCACCTCTGCTCACTCCCTGCAAGACATCCTGTGGAGAAGACACATGGAGAAAGACTGATGGAATCAGACCTCTGGAGCCAGAGAAGCCATGTGAAGATGCCTGCCAGTGCTGAGATGCTTACCATACCACTGGATCCAAAAGACTTCCCACCCACTGGCCTGTGATCATCCTGCATTGGCCACATTGCATGTGTTTGGTGAGTCTGAAAAGGACTTTATAGACATATGAGCTAATATTGGATTTGTGGACTTGATCTGGACTGGGCTGGGATGTTTTCTCAATATTCAATGGCTCTTGTATATAAAGCTCTTTCTTATTCACATATGCATGTCTATGAAATTTGTTTCTCCAGTCTACCCAGACTAACACACCACTTAAAACATAATCTTAAACTCTCTCAACGTTGTCTACGGAAACTCCAACCAAAATTCAGCTGGTCCTTGAACTGATTCACTCTGACTGGACATCCCACTAATAATTTGCTTTTCCACTCTACTGAATCAGAACCTACCTTTCAGCAAGATCTCGGATTCAGAATAACTGGACTGGAAATGCCAATTATCTACAGAGGGAACCAGAATGAACTGGTTTGACGCCCTAAAATAAACTCCTTAGGAAAGTGACCAGTCATGCGAGTATTACATGTCGTTCTTTATTGAATTGCGCTAGGTTAAGAGGATGATGTGTATTTTGTTGCACATTCTTTTTTTTTTTCAAGGAAATGTTTAGCAGCCTCATGAGCTCAGTTGATTTGAAGAAGTAAGAATCACTTGAAAGGGTCTCACAGAAAGATTAATTTCAACTTCTAACCTGGTAATATGGGCTCTCAAAAGTTTGCAGGAAAAATTCCATTATCTTTTAATTCCATTTTTTGATGAACATGTTAAACTTCCCTCCTACTACATTCACAATATTTAATCAGACCATTTAAATAGTAAAAAAGCCTATGTCCTCCAGTGAGTATCTTCATCTATCCAGGCCCTTTGTTTTCAGACAGTCCTCGGTAGCCAGAATGTCCTCTCTAGCCAGGACACCTGCAATCCACCCACCATAGTGCACTTCTGCCATCCACCCCAAGTCACCTCATGTCAACTGGAACCTTGCTCGTTGTTCTTCCTTAGTGGCTCGTCTCTAAAAAAAACAGCCGAGTTAAGAGCTGTGTGAAATCACTGTGACTCATGGCCTCCTAAGCCATCCATGACCTCCTATGTCATCCATGACCACTCGTGACCATCGGCATCAGGGCAGATTGTGCTCCACGTGACTCTTCGTGGCTGATTTTCCAGAAGTAAATTTCCAGGCCTTTCTTCCATAGGGCCTTCCAGTGGCCTAGAACCTCCAGCCTTCTAATAACAGCCAGGCTCATTACCTTTTTGCATCACTGAGGAACTCCTGCTCTTTCTGGTTCATGATGAAAACGGTCATTTCACCAGTCACAGTTTCTACTGAGAATCTACGAAAGTGTGTCAGTTTATGATGATGATGATTTAGAAAATGTTTTCTAATGTCATAAATATTATAAAATAGGTTAGAAATCCCTCAAATTATGATACCAAGAAATGATTAATAGCTATGGGTATATGTTTCCACATGTTCAATAAAGGGTTACATCACCCTTTTAAGCACCTGTAGGTATTTTGTTGTTTAAATGCACTATATACATTGTTTATATGGTCTCAGGTTGATTGATCGAACCTAATTTTTCACCATTTTAATTTATGTTTTGACGAGTAATTTTTGTGTCCTTGCTTAGGATGATCAAATGGGCCTTATTTCCAAGCCCATAATATGAATCTAGAAACAATTCACCTCAAGAGCAAAGCAGTGTTCATTTATTTATTTATTTTTAACAGTTTTATTGGTATTTCATCCACCTATCATACACTTCAATAGTTCACCCAGATCAGGAAGAGTTGTACCATCACGACCACAGCTTTAGAACCTTTTCTTC